AAATAGGAGACCACGTGGGAAATCGAAACACAGATGCGAGGATTATATTACGTCGTTTGTTGGAAGAATATTTCATAAAAGCACAGAATTCCTAGACCGGCCAATTAATTTGAAATAGCATGGAGATGTTGAATTTTAACTCCCACGTTTAACCGAAAAAGGCTTCCTGCTTCACCTCCTCTATAGGCACCACGCTCTACAGACATGACAGAGAAGTTACCACACTCGTAAGGCGAACCATAATATTGCAACTTACTATTTCGAAACAACGGCTTGGACTGCAGCTATCCGAATTCCCCTGCTCTGCCTCCGTGCGCCAATTATAGATTTGACAATCATGCTGACATCAACGTTCGAGGAACGTCAATAATCAGACCCAAATCGAACAGTTTACGATCAGCGGCCAATCTTAAATTCTGTAACACGCTACTATGGCAGATCGCATAATACTGCGAACCCGTCCGAAGCACCAATTATGTCTTAATAATATTTACAAAAGCATTTCTCGCCGAAGCTGGGATAGCTCGGTCGGTACGGCGTCTGGCTATGGGCTGGAAGGCTGAGGGGTCGGAGTTTGAGTCCCGGCAGGTGCAAGGTTTCTCTCCTCCCCACGTCGTCCAGACCGGCTCTGGGGCCCACCCAGCCTTCTATCTAATGGTTACCGGGGGGGGGGAGCTTTCTTCCGAGGATAAAGTTATCGAGGCGCGAAGCTAACCACTCACTTCCATCTAGTGCCGAGGTCAAGATCACTCCCCCCACTCCCGTATACGTCTTCATGGCGCAGTGCTTACTTTTTTACCTTGATATGTTCAGCAGTTAATGTTGTTTAAGGAAATACATGCTGCTTATTGCGAGTCACGTGAGGCACATAAATACACTGTGTGAAATATACAGAGTTTTAAGTCTTAAAATAATCTCTGCCCTAAGCATCACAGCAAATTAAGGCGCTGGAAGGAGAGGGGTTACACATTCGAGACATCGGTGAAGATGGTGGAGAAAGGTCGAATTTACCATCGAGAAAATTAGGAGATCACAGAGCCACACTGGGCTTACTGATGGGCGAGTTCTAATGTATTTACATGAATTTCAAACTGATTCACTTGTCATAATGTTAACCCTGGCCCAGTGGTTATGTACAAGTGTTTAGAGCTCTGAGAAGCAAATTCCACGAAGCGAATTCTTTCTCGAAAAACGAACTGTTGCCAAACTATTCACGAAATTCCCACAGTTTTTTTAAATCAATGATTAATTATCTTGTTCACAACAGCTTGCGAGTAAGCCACATTCTGAGCCAAATGAACCTACTCTGCATCACCCCATCCCATTGTATAAGATACATTTTAATATTATCCTCAGATCTACGATTTGGTCTTCGAAGAAGTATTTTTCTTTCAGGCTGTGAGACAGCATGCTGCATATGCCACCGATCTCATATTTTCATATTTGACAGAAGCTATCCCTCTAACAGGCAGTGGAGGCCCATAGGATTATGGGACATGAAGGCTCCCACATTTTCTAGACAGTCGGGTCACAGATGGCGGTGAGGTTGTCAGCTTCACGCTCCGGCCGACTGCCCTTATCCCCAGGAAGAATCCTGGTACCCATTTCTGTTAGAGGCTGAGTCGACTCCAGGGCTATAGTGCGGCTGGAAGATTTAGGTAAACTAAAGAAATCCAATGACTTCACTAGGAATCGAACCCGCGACCTTCCGGCTTGTAGCATAGTGCCTCAACCAACTACACTACCGCTTTCCCCCTTACTATGACTGATAAGCCTAATAATATTTGACCAAGAATACAAGTTACGAATCTTCTCAGTATACTCGTACAGCTTTCTCCAGTTTCCAGTTACTTCCTCCTTCTTGGGTCCCTGTGAGATTCATACCGTAAAGAGTGACTCGGTATTTTCTCAACGAGTTATGACAAGTAATGTTAAGAAAAACTGAAACGTTTTCCTTTTCCAGTCGTTAGCAACAGACAGTTCCCTTGGCTCGCACTTCAGTGTTTTAAATACAGCCTCTACACTTGGCACATTCCAGAATACTTGCGTGCAAATGGAACTTTAAACGCTGTAGATTCCGACGTTCTTAGATGGCAGCACAATCAAAGCGACACACCACTTTGTCAATGAAACCCACTCATGGCTCTGTTCCATTGACTGTGTATCTGGTCCAGTGGTTCTGAACTCCCAGAAGCCCCATAATGGGCGTCAGAGCCTCATAAGGGAGTAAACGAAATGGACGTGACGCTGCGTAGGTTGCTTAACATTTCAGTGGGAAGTACTGCCTTCATCTTCAGGGTCAAAGAGTTGATTCTTCTTCCTCACTGGCGATAAAACCCTGTGTGGGTCTACACTTGTCCGGGATAGAGTCTTTAGCCCCATGCCCAACCTCAAACATGGAGGACCAGGGACTACACTTTGTCTGGCCCCTCACCCTTTGACCCTTCTGGCACGGTTGGCTCTACCAGAACCTTACACTCCCGGCAGCATAGCTCTCCGGGTCATTGGGATGCGCAAACTTTCCCTCCACGATACGATCGTAGTCCTCGAGGAAGTATGAGCGTTGATTACTTAGTTCAATCTTCAACCCTGAAGATGGAGACAGTACGTTCCTTGGAAACAACGATGAATTCTACCCGCATCACATCCCAGAAATAGACCTCACAGTGACCACAGTGCACACGTCAGACATGTCCCAGTCATTTTCACATTTCGAACGAACTTTAAAGGAGTCCCGACGGTTTCTTTTGTACAAAGTTGTGTGCGCATGGAATAAAGCTTGTTTAGATTTTTAAAAATCTATGTGTTCAATTATGTTTATAGTGCATTAGAAAACGTAATACGCGACGGAAATAAATTCTCCACTGAGAAGGGTTGCGTTGACTGAAAAAATAAATGTTCAGAAATGCAGATCTAATCAGTGACCAACGACTTAAATCGGTCTGCTATTGGTGCACACGTGGGCTGGGCTATATGATAACAGGATAATCATAATTAATAACAACTAACGACACTCCGTTCTGTTTTATTTTGTGGCTTACTTAAGGACTTATTCAATAAGACTATACAGCAACAAATGGTAGGGCTATTAATGAATGATGAATTAGATCGGATGTGGAAGGAAGTGGTCGTGGCCTATTTCGAAGTATTACTCCAGCAATGCAGTAGAGGGACTGAGAAAAGCATCGAAAAGCCCATGTCAGGAAAGCTGGCGTCCTGGTCAATATTTGAACCAAGCAAGTCCGGAATACGAGGGAGAAACGCTATCGCCCCAGCCAAATTTCTCAGTGGCACTGCCTTTAATTGTTGTGTTTTCAAGAATACTTACAGTAGGTACAGCACTGCATAAAATACCGTATTTACGCATGTATAGGCCGCGTGCGTGTATGGGCCGCAGCACAATTTTCAGACAGAAATTATAGAAAAAATAATTTTCTTGGAATATTATTTCAGGACTAGAACACCCTGTATTACTAATTAGGAATATAATTTTTTTTTTAAATGAAGTGTGATTTCGAATATTTCTAATATAAGCCGCACCCCAGTTTTCCTCTTGAATTTTTGGCAAAAAATGTGCGGCCTATACATGCGTAAATACGGTATAAAGAGCACAGAAGCGATCTGCTGAGAACGGTAGCAACAGTCTACTGGATTTCTGGCGCACTAATCCTTCAAACATATGACAGCTGTAGCCCACTACTTTACCTCCTCCACTTCCCAACGCTTTACCTTCTCTCCAACCCATCTTTACCAGGATAAATGAGCACTGCCTTGGACACATAGGTACCACTGCTGCCCAATCTTACAGTTTCCTTTCACTCTCTCTCGTTCAGGCTTCAAATGGTTAGCTACCCTTTCAATAGGTCAACTCAGTGGTATCCAACCGGTGGTACGCGTAACCTTTGAGGCATGAGAGAGAACTCTAGTGGGTAAGTGAGCACAACTAAAATGTCTGAATTTTTGTTTTATGTTTTGCTTAATAGACATTTTTTAAACTATTATTAGTGAAATAAAGGCATATGAATAGATGGGAGTTCAAATGTGCAGTTGTCTGCGCCGAACATCTCACGCCATTTTGTGTGTTTGAAACTTCTAGGTACTTCTGATACTTCAAAAACATTTTTAGAGTGTACTTAATAAAAAAAGTTGAGAAACACTGAGTCACACGATTAGCGTCGAATGGTGGGATGGTGAGCACTTATTTGGGAATGATGTGGAAGTGTTTGTTGCCTGTAACTTCCGGTACTGCTCCAAGGTTTGCCTGGAGGGACGGAGGAAAACTACGAATAACTTCAGTAAGGATGGTGGGTCTGCGGTCCGAGCTTCGAAATTGCGACCTTCCAAATTTTAAACTAACCACTTGACATCCATGTTAGTGTCACTGATACCCTTCAAATTATACATATCGATTACCATGGAAAAATGGAAGAGAGCGTCCCAATTCCATTGGGAGAACATCAGTGGTCAGCTGTTGTCATTCTGTTAACTGGGGCTATGTTGTAGCTTCTAGCTTTACAACGTTTCATTCAGGTGTACAGTTTCAAGAATACAAAACCTGAACTTCTTTCACTGAAACCAGACTCGGGTCTGGATAGAGGTGAAGTCCCCGAGGATGTGATAAGGTGCTGCCTGGTGAAGGCTATCGTACATCTCAGGGCGGAGGTTATAGATGAATATAGAAGAATGTTGAAATATTAGCAGGGGAAAATCAAAGAAACTGAGGGGAGGGGGAGGAACTATTGAAGTGTCACTTCGTCCACCATGAAACCCTCACACGACGTCACATTGGATTTAATCCGAGGCGGTATCTTGCTAGCTTCTGAGTTATCTGACAGGATATCTGATTGGAGGCCAGAAGACTGAAGTGTGTATGGAAGAAGTTGGCAAGTAGCACCATTTTAGCGCTTACATAGGTGTGCTCTGGAGAGGGGGAGAAACTATTTTTGTGAGAGGATAATTTGAGAGGTTGGGAGGAGTAAGGTGGGGTAGAAATTGAAGCGGACGACGGCGGAAAGCGTTATGGAAATGGGCTCAGAGCCGCTGTAGCCTCCGCGGACTCCACATTCCAACCTCGCAAGCATCGGCATTTGGCCCACTTCTTAACGTGAGACAGTGTGAGTACACCTGCTCCATATTCAAGTCTGTGTGCGAGTGACACATATTGTTGGATACCTGTGATTTAGTAAGTAAACTGAGTGATGGTTTATCATGAAGTGTGTTGCATACGCTCATATGAAGGATAGTAAAAAATTAAAGGCAACTTTAGTTTACTTAGAATACCGTGTTAGTAGAAATGAAAGAAATAAGATCACGAAACCGTTCCTCGTTTGAATAGTCTTTCTCTTTTTTTTTTAAATCCTAGTAGTGATACTATTGTGATATGATTGGTTCGTTGATAGAAGACACCGAAGAAGACCTGTGATCCGGTTTTTTGTGCTCAGAGGCTGTGAAATCTGGTGAAATTCACAGAAGAACCAGAGTTTAGTTTGGTGACCGGAAGGAAAGTTTACGAATGGGTGGAAAGGTTCAAGGGAGGGAGGACGAAAAGTGTTGTTAATGATGAGCGTCCTCAGTGGTCACTCAGATATAATGTGTTCAGGTTATTAATCAGCGTATCTGTGACATCCGAAGAATCATTGTTGATGAAATTGCGTCTGAAATGAACGTCTTTGAAACAAGAGTTACAAGAATGGTGAAAGGCCCTATCGAAGGAATTCTATTCTGATGAAGTAATGGAATTTGTGGTTCAAACGCACTGAAAAATAGGGCGATTACACGTATATAGGAAAGGATTCTTATTCAGATCAGGGTTTTTTTTTGGGGGGGGGGTGTAACGCTATGGATATTGGTAGATAAGTACCTATCTTTCGCTAGGAAGATACAACCTCCAACTTTCTCCCAAAAAATTGGTACCTACCTACCAAACTATACGGCCTCACAACTCAGAAGACCTGATATGAATACTGTGTGATTGTTCTATATAAATTTGCAACAATGTCGCCTTTCATTTTTTTGTGTACCTTCATATGTATGAAGAAAGTTCTCGTACAGGAAGGGGCGGTTCTATGGTGCAACACAAACTATCAAATTATCAAGGCATTTCTCTTTTTCCGTTCCTTTTTCGAATTGTGTGAGAAATATGTTTGCCATTCCATGCAGTAGGAAGAATATTCAGGTGAGTTTTAGAGATATTGACCGTTTAAGGCACGGTGGTAACTATATGTACCACCTACTTCAACATTAAAAAAGCTTTGCATTTTGCCTACACAGGGTAATGATGTGTTTAGCATTATTATTAAAATAAACAACGATTGTTTTCCTTAACAGCTTCAACCGGTTGGTCTTTGTAGCGGAGACGTGATGTGTTTCCTATGAGGCACGGACTGAATTTGTATATACCTGTATTACAGAACTCTGCATTCTGCCCACATAGTGTATTTGTGTGTTCCGTATGGTTCTCACAATAAACAGCGAATACTTCCCTTAATAACATCAACCGATTCGTCCTTACAATGCAGACACAAGTGTTTTTTTCTGTGAGGTAGGAACTGAAATTCTGTACATCATTTTACGGAAACTCGATTATGATGAGCTACACAGCAGCTAACGGATTTAACAAACTTACTGAAAGGACAGCGACACAGATATTTAACGTATACAAAAATGTAACTTCTCTGTAGGCGTTCATTTCCTACCACGGAGCTAACAGGGAACTCTCACTCACTCATGCAGCTGAGCCCTTCTTGAGAAGCCGCCAATTGTGAAGCTACTCAAGAACTTCCCAGCATTTTATGGAACCCGAAGGTTCATTACCTGAAGTGCCCTCCACTGGTCCCTATCCTGAGGCAGATAAATCCAATCCATACCATCCCATCCTATCTATTTAAGATACAGTTTAATATTGTCCACCCACCTACGCCTTGGTCTTTCCAGTGGTCTCTTTCCAGCTGGCTTTCCCGCCAATATCCTATATGTATTCCGCTTCTCCCCTATTCGTGCTACATTCCCTGCACATCTCATGGAGGTCCGATACTTCTATGCGTTTGATTTCAATTTCCTAACAGGAACACATAGAGGAATTATGAAACTCACTGCATACTCTTGCCAGTATGTACGGTAGCCGTGGCTGCTAAAGCGACGGAAAATTTTTTGGATGCGATTCAAATTCCTGTGCCCAGATTGTTTAATTACAAGAGCAAACTTTAATTTCGTAATTTCAGTGTTGTTCCTTCTTTAAAGTTTTAGCTGCTGTATATTGTGATGTTGAACAAGGGAAGCAACCATATCCCAGGCGAAGAATGGGTATTTCTGTTTGCTATAAAATATGCAATCTAATTACAATGGCTTCTTATTTATTCACGTTTTTTTTAAGCTGCAAATTGCTTAATCATAGCACAGAACGATGGTGAAGACCACAGAAACGTCAGTCGGGATAGCCGGTTTGCGAACACAGAGCTGAACCCGGAAACTTCAGATTATGAATCCGGAAAGATGCCTATTCAACCTCTGCCTTCGATTTAGTTGCGGAGTTTCCTTCATTTTCACTTCCAAAATTTCTCAGAAACTTAGCATATGAAGTAACATCTTGAATTTAACGTACCGCGTTACATTTGCTTACAGTGTCAAAACCCACCGCTAATATCTCTAAATAATTAATTCAACGCAATTCTTGTGAATCGTCACGGATAAAGCTCTTAGTTTCCGGTTACAAGGATTAAACCTACCTCATCTTCTGCCCTTTGATTAATACTGATTCGGGGCTCAGCCATTCTTTCCAAATGCTCTACTAATAACTTTAAATGCCTCTTCTTTCTTGTACTGGTAGTTGTTATTCCAGAAATTTCTCTAATACCTTCACTGCAGTTATGGTCTGCCATTTTGTATCCTGCGGTCCCTCTGAGAAAATGCTTTTATGCCCCTCCCCACCCAACCAACACGGCCTCCAGTTTGTTCTTATGGCTGTTTGCTGTTAGCGCTTCTTCGTTAGTGCGCGTTTTATGTTAATAAACGTTCACAATCACAAAATAAAATACAGAAATATGGGGGGGGGGGGGTAAAGCTATCCCTGTAACAGGACGTGAAGGCCCATAGGGTTGTGAGATGTTGAGGCTCCCACATTTTCTAGACAATCAGATCACAGATGGCGCTGAGGTCAGCATTACGCGCCGGGCGTCCGTCTTTTGCCTCCAGGAAGATTCCTGGTACTCATTTCTGTTAGAGGCTGAGTCGACCCCAAGGCCATAGTGCGGTTGGAAGGATTAGGACAATTTAAAAATGCACTGATCTCATCCGGAATCGAACCCGTAACCTTCTGGCTTGTAGCACATATAGGCGTTCCGAAATATGTTGAAGTTGAATTGGGAAAGACAATAAAAAATAAAAATTCTGGGAATGCTTGCTATCATCTCAGTTTGATTTTTTCCTTCCCGTCTGCTATCTCAAAGCCTAAAACACCCACGATTATAATTTTATTTTCTTGTTTATAATGGGTGTGAAACTTGGTCTCTTATCACACGGGAATAAGAGAGACTGAAGGTGTTTCAGAACGGGATGCTTCTCAAGACAGAGTCTGTTTCCTGGAGTTACTTAATTTGCTTGGTTGGAAAGAGGCAAGAGTGTAGGTTACACGTAATTGTGTGGAGGCTCGCCAGCCAGCAGGGGTCCTAAAATAGTAAACGGGAGTCTGTTCGGCCAAAGTTATAATTAGGGCTAGTTCCTCTAGCACGTACTCAAGCCGGTTTAAGGACAGGCTGTGTGTTTCAATGCGGCGGAAGAAACATGGACAAAAATGGCGTTTCAGGAGACGTAAACCGAATGAATGTCCTCATATCACAAAGAATCACATAATTTAGAACTTCAAAATGAGACATAAACGCGGTGATTTGTAGAAAAAGGATTATTTTCGAGTTATTTCAGCAACTCATATTCCAGAAATTAATGAAATCTACAAGTGGACTGGAAAGAATAAGGCCGGCCTACTGACAGGAACACGCAATACAGGGCCTAGCAACAAAGACGGAATATGCAATTGTAATGCAATTGGTCGATCAGTCGCGAATGCGGATTTAGTCGCGTTATTTAACAAATATCTGTGCAATTTCGAATAGAACTTTTTCCTTTTTACAGCGTCCTTAACGAAACATTGTAAAATGCGTCCATCAGCTTCGTCATGTCCGTCCGTCCGTCCGTCCGTCCGTATACAGAATATTGTAGCTTGAAAACAGATACTGTACATTTTCACAGAATCTTGCTCGTTATGAGTCAAATAAAGAATATAAATAACGGACACATTACATGAAGGCTCAGATGCATTTCTGCGCGCACTTCGAGCGTAATTCGCTAGATAATTAACGGAGCGAAACTTTCGGAGTTGGTTTCTTGCTTGGATTATATTTGAACCCTGAAAGTGGAGGCAGTATGTTCCTGGGAAACATTGGAAGTATTCTTCTAGACAAGTCGGCATTATCCCAGAAGATTTCGCTTAATGGGGGGTTGGAGTCCAACTGGGTCCCCTCGGCACGGCGGCCACTGATTGGCCTATTGTAGCTTGCCCCGCGTAATTATGATGATGGAGAATTTGGTGGAATGAAGATTGGCAATGGAAACCGAAGTTCTGGGAGAAAACCGACCCCAGCGCTGCTTTGTCCACCACAAATCCCACTTGACCAGACCCGGGATCGAACCCGAGCCGCCGCGGTGGGAAGCCAGTGACTAACTGCTTGAGCTATGGCGCGGTCAAATCCCAGAAGATAAAACAGTATCAATGTTACATGTGAAAACTTGACAATAAAAAGGGAAAATATCTTCCTCTTAAAAGAACAAACTCTGTTACATCACTTGAATAATAAAATAATAAGGACTTTACTTACATGCATCTTCACCTCTATTTCAGCCCTTTAACCATCCGCAACCATGTCCGACGAAGAGGAATACTCGTAAGTTACATTTATTTCACTTTATCCTATGCTTTTCATTATAAAGAGCTACAAACGCTTTGAGCACCAAATCAATGTCACCTGTACTATATATGTACACACACTTCTTGGGACCATTCGCCATGCCCCACATGAAAGATGGCAACAATTCTTAGAAACCAATAAAATGAACTATAAGATAGAAAGAGTAACTTTTCATATATATATGAAATTTGATGTTCTCATGGCATTGAATAACTGGGATGTGATACATCCATTTTCATTTTGTTATCTAGTATAAACGATGGCAGATTTTATATCTATGTACATACATAGATCTCTGGAAGACACATTAAATATGAATATATGAATATGAAAATGCAGAAGATGGATGCAGTATGCTACACCAAAATTGTTGATACCTTCCTGCAACTACAAACTGCCACACTACAAAATATCATAATCTTAACTTCTCAAATAATAGATCATAATTGGAATTCACAGGACCAACTTAAAATCCATAACTTCACTACAAGTAGCAAAATGGAACACAGGATTTCTTAAATGCTAGACACACATGCAAAACATGAAGTATTTTCAACACATTACATCTTGAAACTAAACTAAGCTTGTTTTATATAAAACGTGCAGGTTTGGCAGTAGTAATGACTAATATTGTGGTCTTTTGCGTTATGAAGATGGAAGCAGTATATTTCTCTAAAACACTGGCTCCCACTTATCAGACCGCATGGCATCATAACCCAGAAGACAACAGGAATCATCAACACTGGCAAAACCTCACGTCTTATACTTGACTCACTTAAGTCTGAAGATTCTTATAAACTTACACAGATAGGTCAAAAACTTGAGTATTCAAAGTGTTTAAATAAGAAACTGGTGTTGCTATGATATCATACTGAATTTTGTGCATAAAATCTACAAAGAAAAAGCTTCTGTGCCCATGCAACATTTTTTGCCTGTACTAACAGACTTCATAAAGCACATAACCTCAGTACTTCAAAAATTTCCAAAAGCAATGCAGCAGTAGACACTGCAATACTGACTCAAGCATATCTTCCACTGCTATTCATTTTCTTTTCTACTGCTATTCATAACTACAACCATCTCTGACTGTTAATGTACACAATGAGAGAACAGCAAGCACCCGTCTTTGATATATAAGGATGTTAGTCATAAAAGCAGGTAGTGTCCTGTACATATTAATATTCAAGAATGATTTGACACTACAGAGTCCATTAGATCATTAAGTCAGACCAGTGGAGCTATCACCATGGTTCCTGTACATGTCCTGTGGAACAGTTTTTTATGATGAGTGCACAATATAGGAGATGTTATTTATTAATTTATTTGAAGTCTACTTAACAATGCTGTCAGTTACTCAGTCTATTTGATATGAAGTAACTCGATGACGCAGCGGCCTCTGTAGTCTAGAGGTAACGTTCCCACCTCATGACTCCTGGTACGCGGGTTCAAAAACCCGGCAGAGGTCGTGGAATTTTTAAGAGCGGAAAAATTCTGGGAAAAAGTCCTCCGGGAGGGACTTTAAGCCCTGGGTCCCATGTTGTAGCTTTACAGCATGTAAAAGAACCTCATATCTCCAAAGGAGGTCACTGAGCCAAATTCAGGACATTTCACGCCCAACAGTAGTCTCTAACGCCTCCGATAGATGGGGGAAGCATTACAGATACCACCAAGCCAGTAGAAGAGAAACTCGCTGGCTCAGTCGGGACTGATGGTACGCACCAATATCGGTAGGGTATAGAGACTGGTAGAATATCATAGAGGGAACCACAATGGACCAATACTGCTCTAAGTGCATGGGGAAACCCACCCTCTCTAATAACTAACTAACTAACTAACTAACTAACTAACTCGATGACACTGAAGAAACTAATTTTACAGGATGTGAATGTAAGTGATAATGGCCTAATTTAAGTTACTATACCAGCATTAGTCTGGAGGGACTGAATAAAACCATGAAAACATTACTCAGGATAGTCACTGTTCCAGCTGAAATTCAAACTGGGCACCTCTTGAATGCAAGATATGTAGGTTCTAACAGTTGTGAATACTGAGATAACAAGTGTCTTGGGATGTGACATCTGAAACTCGTTAGATAGGTACTAACATTTTGGAGAAATCTGCTGTGTTCATCTTCAGAGCTTGAACATGGAGATTTCTGTGAAATGTTAGTACCTATCTACCAAAGTACAAGGCTCCATATCCAGGAAGACAGCAATCATAAAGGTCTTACTCTCATGTTTGCATTGCCGATTTGGTGTGTATACTGTAAGCCACATGTTGTAAACTGAAAAAATTTAACAAACTGCAATTATGAAATAAATTTTTGCTGTATGATATGTTTACTGATGCAATTACTTCTTGTTTCCAGTGAGGAGGAGGAAGAGACCCAAGTTGATACGTAAGTATGTTGTTATGTTATTGAAGTACTTAATTTAAGACATTTAATGGCTTCACAATTTCTAATCATACTGAGATTCAGTTTTGAATATGTATTGTTTATCGAGTTAAATTTATTGGTATGGTAAAAAACGTAAAGCTGTCCCAGTGATAGTGGGCGGTGAGGGGTCAGTTTCACTCCCCAGCCACTTTACCCCCCCAGTACCCATTGGATAGGAGGCTGTGTGGGCCCCAGAACAGGTCTGGACAATGTGGAGAAGAGCAAATTCTTGACCATACCAGGACTCGAACCCTGACCTCTTGGCTGTACATCCCATCACTATACTGACTGTGCTCTTTGCTTAGTGGGGGCTGAAATCCAACTGGGTCCATTCGGCATGGCAGCCACTAATTGGCCTATTGTAGCCTGCCCCGGGTGATTATGATGATGGAGAATTTGGTGGAATGCAGATGGGCAGGGGAAACCGAAGTACTCGGAGAAAACCCGCCCAAGCGCCACTTTGTCCACCACAAATCCCACTTGACCAGACCCAGGATCAAACCCGGGCCACTGTGGCAGGAAGCCATACCGACTGTGCTATCCCATTTTAATATGGTCTTTCTTTATTGTGCTATCAATAATCCTGAAATGTAAAAGAAGTTCAATCCTGCTCAATAAATCAAGTCTAGAATTGTCTGACTGCAATTTGGTGTAAATCATAGGGTTCAAAATCTAAACTTTTCAACTACTGTATCTTCACACTAGCAATTGTTCAAAATGAAGTAGTATAAGTGATAATACTTAAACAAAATTGTTGCTTCTCTTTGATGGAACAAGATTGGGTTATTGCATTGTTTCCTGAGTTCAGCTATGTGTAAGTGCACAGGCTGATGTCTCCTATAAATATATTTCAGACTTAAAACTCAATAATCACACAATCTAATAATAATAAAATATATAGTGATGTATGTATTATGTACAAGTGATTGTTGATAAAAGAACCTGCATTGTAGGGAGGTCTAACTTACCAGCTTTACTTAATATAACCTCTCATCTTCTTTTTAAAAATGTTTAATATTTTATGTTAAGTGACTATTCTGCTTGTAACAGTATGATACTGGCATAAAGTATAGTTAACATTATATGATAGTAAGTTACTACTCTAAACAACTTAAACATGTCTCTTATACCATTGTCATTATCAAATATTACCCAAAATTACTTCAAATAACTTTCCTACTAAATCTAGGGACATGATAATATCCATTTGAGTGGAATGTACTATGTTAACATTTTGAAAATTTGTTTATAACAATGAGCAGAAACACAAAATAAATCTATTTGTAACTGAAATTAAATTTGATTTTTTAAATTTACTAGTCTTATAAAGAGTATTATATTAATTTATCTTCAACAAGAAACTGAAATACCTAACATTTAATTCTATATCAAACTTATGGCATGTTCTTAGAAGTGTGTAATTTTTATGTAAACACTATATATGCTTTGTGTATAAATATATAAAATCATCTCTTATGAAAAACTGATGGGAATATGTCAGATTTATATTGTCCATCTGGTGAATTTATTCAATAAACTGAATGGAGAATTTTATATTCTGACAAATGAAAACTATTAAATATTACGTACAGCAGTCAACTAAAATGAAGCAGTTCATGATTCTTAATTTAAATTATCTGTTTTCATTACTGGGATCTCATTTAGAAAGTCTGGCAAGTGGATGAAATGTATGGTGTTCTATCATCTTTCTTTCTGTGCATCACTGTTGGGAAGTACAATTTCCCACCTTATGTCTCAGGGATCATAAAAACTAAATTTTCTCTGCCATTAAAAACATTACCAGAAAGAAAAAAAAAAGCTCCTCATAAGAACAACATACAACAAATCCAACAATATAACAACGTAGCTTGATAGATTAACTGCTGGCATTAGAGAGCATTCACAGTTTCTCATTATCTCATAGCTGTGTAAATCAAATTTGCCTCTGATCTGCTCCTACAGCTCAGAAACCACCTTGACCTCCTTCTATTGAGCATGAGTAACTATCTTACATCAGCCAGACTGCTCGTTTGAACTAGTATGAATTGTATGTATTTGAACTCGTCACTAATTGTTTCCTTTTCCTGTTCTTTACAGGAAGTAAGTATAACTGCTGTTACGGCTACTGAAGTAACCGACTGGTAATGCTACACAATTCTACTCCATATTTTACTTCATACAGAGAAGTAGTATAGTAGTCTGACTATAATTAGCAGCCTATGCAATGTTAACTGATTACTGCTGGTTATTATTGCTTAATGCATTCTATCATAGTATAATCATTATATTAAGCATCTTAAATGATAATGATGAATTTAACATTTTGTTAAATGCTAACCAGAGTCAATGATTAATGCCATAAGATGCTGAACCACTGATCCATAATGTAAGACCTCAGTGCATACACTGCTCATACCTACATATGTAGTCATTCACTTTACAGAACTGAGAACATGAATAGTTCATTCTACATGTCTAATTAAATCACTCAACTCCAAGAAGCAACACTCAGCACTATTCTTAAGTATTCATGCACATGAACCAACGCTGATTGAGAACAATCACAAACAGTCAAATAATCATTGCTGTAATCTTACTCACTGCACATGATTTAGATGTCCCACTGGCACTTAACTAAACACACTGTAAAATGTAAACTGCCAAGGAACAATTGCTATAATATTGCTCTAACTGCATTAATTGCTAATAGCACAAATAAGCCACTCACATCACATGGTAACATGCTATAGATTAGGAAAAATATAGGTGTTATAAACACAAGTTATGTAGCTTTCAGCTCTTGCTCTTAGAATGCACGCTTCAAGCAATTCATGGTTCAAAAGCTTATTGTTCAATATATAGTTGGTTACAACACAAAATAAGGGTGAGTGTGTGGAATTACATGCAGAACTGCATACTGATAAGTATACTAATCTTCATTTTACAATAAATTTATGTTTCAGGAAGTGATTGTTTAGTAGAAATTTTATCATATTTGATTATAAAACTGGCTCAAAGCTAATTTGTAGACCAGAAACCTAGCCTCAAAAATTTCCATATCTCTCAGTTCTGTCTTATTATCATGTCCCTGTACAAAGTATAGATTTCATGCAGTTTTTGTTTTCCTTTTCTCTCCCTCCCTGGGCTGCCATCTATAACACAGAAAGCAACCGGAAACGAAGAAAGAGTAAGTGAATCGCTGTACTTATACATCACTACTTGTTTTTTCTGCTGGCAGTCTTCTAAGGCCACTCCAACCAAATGCTCGGCAATCACACTCAATGTGCACTGTTTTACCACACAGAATCAACAATGTTGGAATTAATCAAATTTCATTCAGATATACCACATATTATTTTAATTCGTGAATATTTATTTTGTCAAGAAAACAAAAGGAGAAATTGTGTGACCTACTTGGTAATTAAAAATGGAAGGCCATAAACAAACTTCTGGTGATGTTAACGATGGTACCAAAATATTGCTTCTTTGTGGTGAGACATTTTAATGTTTTGACGTTTTGCTTTTCATGTTACCAGCCGCTTTTTAAAATCTGAAAAATTCTGATTTTGTGTTCATGACAAACCTGTCTATTTTGAAAGTGAAGCCTGAAAAATAATCTGTTATAACTAGCACAAATGCTAAAAGTGTTTCTTTAAAATTGTTTTAAATGTTGCTCTTCTGAGTTTGGCTTTGGGAAAAAATACATATATATATTTCATCTTTTAACGCAATGGCTAATACTAATATAAATTTGGATTGGCCTTGAATGATTAAAATCTAAGTTTAAAACAATTGTTATGTTTTAACAAACAACTTTACACATATTTTTGCACAGTATGTTACTTTGAATACTTAAAAAAGACGTCTGTTCTGGATTTTTATCGTGGTTCAACATTTCTGCTAAGCTAGAACAGGACTGACCAGCAGGCTAACTCAGTATTTGTGAGTGTGAGGGTTCGCCACAGTCGAAGTGAAACGCTTTGTCTTGTTACGTTTGTTTCTGTGTTGTCTGTGCTGCCTGCTTTATATTCCTTGTATACATTTTTCTTAATTCTTCTCTAAGTCTACCATCGCTATCCATTTTTTCTTTTCTTCATTCATGTTCCAAAAATAACAGCTGACAGTCACAGTGTTAATGAATGGACAGACTTGGTTCAGGTTCTACCATGTCCAAACTTAAGTGTACTCACAATGTCCTAACAGCTGTGTAAAATATAAGGCACTTGGCTATGATTTTAAGCATAATTCTTCTGGGGAAAGTAGTAAGCCCTGTCTTTGCAATAATAATATTATCAAGTTTCAACATATTTTTCTAAGCAACCATAATTTTACATGAGAAAATTGGTATGTATTTATTTGAGAGTCTTTGTTTCTCCTCAAATTTTAAAACCAATTTCCTTTTAAACATATTTTAAATATGTAAGATTTAAGGTTTATATTTTAAATAGTTTACAAATAACTTTTATTTTCTAAAATACCAATTTTAAAATTTTCCTTTAGAAGAACACACACAGATATATATATATAATTTGCTTATAAGCAAATCAAAAGACATCAGCAAATACACAGAACCCTGAGTCTCATGTGGGCCACATAGCTTGTGGCTTATTTGAAAAATGAAACAAAATTTGATAATATTAATACTGAAAAGATAAGACCTACAATCCCCCCTTAATTTTACATAATCTGTCACTACATAGAGGAAACAGATACCACAACTGGAGATCTGTATAGTAAATAAAAAGTTGCCTCTGTGCTTCATTAAGCATCACTCTTAATTGCTGCTAACACACTGTTAGCCTTGGTATTTGATGGAGGTGAGTGGTCACCTTTGCATTCTGGCCACTTTACTCTCCCAGTATCCATTAGAATGAATGAAAGCTGGGTGGCCATCCTGAAACGCAGAAGGGAAAATCTCTTGTCCATGCTGGGAAGTGAATCCCACTCATCCAGCCTGCAGTC